AGTATTTTTATGGTGCAGCAGTGTGTTCCGATAAAACGATAAAAATCTCTATAAATACCCACGGCGCTAGAGGTTTTGGCCACGTTTCCGGTCCCTGTGTGCGAGGTGAGTACCTACCACTTTTCCCATTGAGCAGTTAGCGGTCAAATAGAAAAACTACAAGGGACAGCCCTATGGGGTTGTACGCAATGGTGACGTAGGACTACGTGGTCTTATATAATAAATGTTATTTGTTAACTGCAGCAGGAGCTTGTGTTTTTTGTAGGAATATGAATTTGAGCTGGGTTCCCTCTGCTTATATTCTTTAGTATGACGCACTTGACATAGATGGCCCACAGCAACTCACGAAGAGCTACTGATTCCAATCAATAGCGGTGTGGCTTCAGCCACCTTCTATGGATGTTAAGCTGGGTTTAGACTAGGCAAGTCAAATCATCAACTCAGTTGAATTCAATTGGCTTGAAAAGTTGAGCCTGGTTCAACTTTTTTTCAATTCAAGTGAGTTGATCTAGTCAGTTGGATGGCATGGTTTACACGTTCAGTTCGCGTACAAGTCAGTTGAATTCAACTGACTTGATCAATTGACTTGCCTTGTCTAAAGCCAGCTTTAATGTGGGCTGCAGCTCACTGCTTGCAGGCAGCCTTTCGTTGTGTACTGGTGAACAATGTTCAACGCCACGCGCCGAAAGCTGCTTTAGCTGATGCTGACGTACGGATACCACACACGGTGATTGGAACTGAATTCGATAAGCGGTTGAGGCCTGCCTTTGTAGCTAGCTGCTGGCGGGGAGCCTTTCGTTGTGTACTGGATAACACTACCACTCACCACGCGGTTATTAAAAAAAAAACACCGTTTGGTGAGACCGGATGGAATTCAACTTTGAAATCTGTGTTAGGGAAATCGCTTTTCGTAGGCAATCGATGATCATTTTAAATATCAAAGCAACAATTGCACATTCGCACAATTTTCAATAGTCACATTTTGAAAAATGATAAAGTCTTAAATTTAACAGATGCGTAGAAATATATCTGATGATATCTGATTGGTGATAAAATTATTGAAATTGGTCCAGGGGCAGCTGAGTTATTAACGTTAAAAATCTTTCATAATTTTGTTACATGTTCCATTTTCGGTTTTCACAAAGTGTACCCCCATATAGAAATCACAGACGTAGTCCTACGTTAAATAACATCGAATTTCAGACTTGACCTTTAATCCGATTAAAAAAATCACTTTAAATAATAGATTAACAGCATGGTAAATTTTCGCAGCAGATGTCACCAGTGAAAAAAAGTTAGAGCGATTTATTGTGCATGCAGAAATCCGAAAAATGTTGATTTCTACGAAATAAGAATATATTACGGAAAAAATCGTGGTTCAAGTCGTTGCTTTTATTTTTACCGATCTGGCCACCAAATATTTTTTAAGTTTTCTCTTGTAAAACCGATATTTTTGGAAGTGGTGCCATGCTATGGTGAGAAACTGACAGCTTACATAAATTCATTCGTCCATTTTGTCTCCCGTCTCATTTTTTTTTAAATGGTGTGTTCAACATAAAAAAATATATAGCATGAAAACGTGTCTTCTAGAAAACAATTAATGCAAAGTGTCATGGAAATCCGAAAGGTTCAACCAACAATCAATACGAAACTAACGATTTGAAATTGGCTCACTACTTGACTAGCCTATTGGTCCCAAGCAAACGATTAACGTATCCCATTCTAGTCGAAATTCTAGTACTACACTATGTTTGTTTTGATTTGCTATGAAAGTTTGACAGATAAAATGAGGGGTTCATGGATTTTCTTATGTTTCGAGGGGTGCATCGATTAGCTTGGGACCGAAGATAGTACTAGAGCTGAGCCAAAAAGTTGAGCACATATCTTCGGGACCTTCTGGTCTTAGAGTTACCTCTATGGTTCAACCTGATCTCATCAATTCGTTTGTTGGCGTGGTAGAGTAGAGCGCTACTTCGTCGTAATCGCCTATTTCCGTCCAATCGATCAGAAAAGATCAATAATATCAATGAATTCACCGTGCACAAATCAATAATAGGTTTGTTTCGATGCGTTTCTCCATAAGCTATACAACATAAATCCTATTAGAGCGCACTGTATGAATATTTACGCTCATTGTTCTCAAAACAAATGAAGCGCTCATAGCGAATCCCCTTTTTCTACGTTTATCCGTAGGACGAAGAACAATGCGTTTGGACGGAATTGAATCTCGTAGAACGAATTTAGAATCTAAAAGCTGTATTAGATTTTCAACAATATCTCAACAATTTGTGACTCTTTATCAAATCCAATGGTACGTATGGAAAGGTGAATAAATTTAGAAGTCATATTTGACAGAAATATTCATTTTCTTTTTTTAAACTCCTTCAGAAAAGAGAGGTAAAGCGTGGGTTGTGCTTAGTAGGACGGAAATTAGATCAAAAACCCTAATGCTCCATAGTAATTCCCAATTCAAAGGGACAATGCAGTTATAGGTTACAACCAATCAAGATTAAACTAACGGAGAATGATCGAATTAAAGTCGAACGAGATGTGTCAGCAGAGATTATTTGAACCATTAAAATACTTACTCATTGAATTTATCCTAATTGTTGGAAATCCACTGTTAAAACTATATAATAGTTATCATTTTGCATACAGTGACATCTGATCTGTATCTTTGTGAAATCTCAACTTTGTAACATCCCATATTGTCTAGTGGTTAGGATATCCGGCTCTCACCCGGAAGGCCCGGGTTCGATTCCCGGTATGGGAATCCTTTTGATGATACAATATAGGACGATACTAAATAAGTGAGGTAATGCAGTTTTTTAATTAATTTGTGTCGAAATCGCGTAATATCGCCATGGATAGTAAAACAAAAATGTTATTGATTTCTTCTCTCAACATATAGGGGAAATGACGGCTTCGGCATGCCAGACTACATGAGACAGACTATTTTCGGCAACCCAAATTGAAACACTATTTTCACTGGATTTTCTTACGAAAACACTTCGCTTGAATGCATGCAAACGATTCTTTATACTTTCAGCTTCAATTTGACTATATTTTTAACACTGAGAAAAAGCAATCTAGCAAGATTTTCTTGAAATGAAACACACGCATTACAAATTGTAGCTGATTTCGAGTTGCCGATAATAGAACAGCAGATTTACATGCAGTTCAAATGGAACGGTTGCCGAAGAAAAACTGGTGGCCGACAATACTCGCTCTCACTAGAGAAGATTGGAGCTTTGTAAAAGCTAGAGTCGGTGTATAATGAGTCACGCCAAGAGTGAAGCCAAGTCTACCTATTGAACTGTCAAACCGGCTACCTATCGTGCAAAGTAAACAAACATTACGATGCTATGAAAGGTCCACGAAAGGTATTGCAATAAAATATAAAATATAATCGAAGAAATGATCATAAACACACAGTGATCATTAAATTGTCATGGGATACGTTTGGTAGCGATCATTAATGAGAATTTCTACTATTTTTTTGTTGAGATGATTGGACAAAATCACTGATATAATGATTTACAACAGCCGCTATTTTTTTTTGCTCGCTGGAAGTCATTTGAAGTTGATGTAGCAGTCCTCTGTTGCCAAGTGAAAAGAAATGGAATCTTTCGAAAACCGTGATGCGAGTTCAACTGTTTTTCTCTTGGCGTGACTCATTATACACCGACTCTAGTAAAAGCGTTTCAAAACAGTTTTTGACAATTCTTTCGACTGAAATTGTTAGAGCAGCTGGCAGCAAAAGATTGTAAACAAACCAATACTGCATATGTGTGCGTTCCTTAGAGAAAAAGGCTATAGAAAGAAGGTCGCTGCTTAGGTTGCCGAGAATACGTAAATTCCCCTATATATACCATGCGTAATTTCAATGTACGTTTCCTTCCCCCCCCCCCCCCCCACATTACATGTATGTAAATCGTGCTTCGATCTTTGTATATTTGTATTTAGGTTTATATATTTGTATTTAGGTTTATACAAGGGTCAGGTGAATTGAATGCGAATACCTGGGGGCATTGTATATTGTATTATGCGAGAAGTCGTAACAAAGTATTTTTATATGAACGCTTGAACGAAAAATTTTGCCGTTTAGACTTGAAAAATGAAGCCCCTGGCTTAACCAAACATATTGGTATTAACATTGCAGTTTTGTTTACAGAAATGTATTTAATGCCTGCATTATGTGAGTATGTATTAATAGATCTCTTTATGTATTATCAATAGTGAAACGTAATTGTGCAATTTTTTACAAATTGTTTTTTTTTTCAATTTCAAGAGATCAACTGTTAGAAAACGATTGAACCCACATATCCCGAAATCAAGCTTCACAACTGCTCTCACACTCAAACGTCTTTCCTGCAGTTCTTCCCCGAGTTTCCCCTTAATCATTGTGCGCTTCTGGTGACACTTTGGTTAATGACTTGCATCCTCCTCAATTAGACATCCTCTCGTCTAGATTCAAGTGACATGAACCGAAATAAGGCGAAACGCTACACGTTGCAGCCTATCCTCACTACCTACCAAAAACCAATTGAGACAACAGCGCAAATTGAAAGTGAGTCGCGCCTGTCTTCACTTTTTCAATGACACAGCAACTCGCTCGTATATCATTGCGAGCGAGCGAGGACCACGTTCCCCCGGCCCCGACCCAGGTCCCGGTGTGCGTTCATTTTCAACGAAAATTAATTGCCAGTCTAATTGCTAAGCGTCACCATGAAAGAGTGAATTAGATACCTATCTCCTCGCTTGCTTCTGGGAAGAAACTTGGCAGAGGGAGCAGCATCCAACCAGATGCTGACGGGTGCAGGATTATCCCCGTTTTGATCGTTTTGTTCTCGCAATCCAAAGATGTTTATTCAACGATTATTTTATGACTTCGGAGCAAATGAGTTGAAAGAGCTCCAACAAGTGGTAGCACGGTCACCGGATCAGATGATGAATGGGCACCAGTTTCGGATGCAGTAAAAAAAAAAGTTGGAGTCTGCTTCTTTGGTTTCACTGATTTTTATTTGATATTCGTCAATTGAAATATGAGTTACAGGATAGAGCGGTTTGGACGGAAATTTCATCATTTACATCGATTTGCCAAACATTAATGGAAGTTTCTTTTTGTGTGCACATTTTTTTTTTAGATTCTCTATCACTAATCCACGGTTATTTAATTAAATAAATAATTTATATTATAGCCTTCTTCTGTTCTCATATTTTTCATACAAATATTTAGTTGTGACCTAACGCTAGAGATCCCAAGTAATCTTTGATTCCTTAATGATAAACTTATCGTATTTACAAAAGTCATGTTCCATTCATTTACTCACATTTTCCCATTTTGTACACAATAATTTTGGCCTAGATTTGAACCTGCTCCCCTAAATTGAACCTGATAAATGCAATTGTACTATTGTACACATGTTTTGTAGAATTTGTCTTCTTCTAGATAGCTTTGGTCTGTCGAAATGATTTGTAAATTTGCCTAAAATGCAATCGTACAATGTTTATCATTCTTGCATAATTTTACAGATATTAGTTGGGCTGAGTAGACTGCCCACTACCGACGAGGACGAAGACGACGACGACGGTGGCGGTGGTTGTGGTGGTGGTGGGGAAATGCGCTGCGGCCGTAGCAGCAATGTGTGCAGCTGTGGCAGCGTTGCCAGCAACTTTCGTCATTGTTAAGGCTGCAGTTGGTAGTTTTTCTGGTAGCTCTGTTGGGAGGACGTTACGCTCATCTGGTTGGGGTTTTCGTCCTTCACGACTGGGAGTACTGCAAGTTTGAAAATAAAAAAAAAAACGAGTGCAAGTGAGAGTCTGTTTTGATTCGAATGACAGTTTTTAAATATTAAATAAGCATTTATTCGCAAGAAATCGGCGATTTAAGTCATTGTTTACGAAAGTAGTATATAGCATTAAATTTCAAACCCCCAACATCTGATACTGAAAAATGCTAAAACTATCATAGCTGCGTCATTTCTGAACAGATTGTTTATTTATTTATCTAACAAAATCTCATACTCCCCAACTTAAACTTGAACTTTGAAGGATTTTGAAAAAAACAATCAATGCTTTCTGAAAATAATTTGATTAGATATGGGGTAGTATTTTGACGTTGGGGGTTTGATAGTCAATATCAACTCACTCTGAAAATAAGGTTGAAGATTCGTGTGAATTTAAAACGTTGAATTATTCTTTGTTGGGAATATTTATTCATATTTTACATTTGAATCAAGATTTTATGTAAGGCTATTGTTAAAATAAAAAGGGAAATTTTAAACAGCTTCACATATCCCACATTGTGTAGTGGTTAGGATATCCGGCTCTCACCAGGAAGGCCCGGGTTCGATTCCCGGTATGGGAAGCTTTTTATATATCTTATCGACATCGATCAAGCAGTGCTGCAAAATCTCGACAAATAATATACATTTATTTTATTATATTATATATTAGAGTAGAGCGCTACTTCGTCGTAATCGCCCATTTCCATTCTATAGATAAGAAAAGACCAATACACTGATATCTTTTTTTACACGTTTTTTTTACGCGGTTTTTTTTAAACGGTGTTTTTTTACACGGCTTTCCGCGATTTACACGGTACGATTTTAAGGATTTCTCGACAACGATACAACCTATCAACTTGATTCCATTCACATGATCCGTTTTAAGCTATAGGTAATCGAATGGCAAAAAAAAAATTAAAAAAAATCACAATTTTTGGTTTTTTTACACGTTTTTTTTACACGTTATCTATCCCCCGTGTAAAAAAAAAACGTAAGTGTAATATTAATGATTTCACCATGCACAAATCAATAGTAGGTTTGTTTCGATGCGTTCGTTCATTAGCTACAACGTAAAGCGCATTGTATGAATATTTGCGCTCATTGTTCTCAAAACAAAAGAAGCGCTCCTAGTGAATCCCTTTTTTCTACGTTAAATCTAATGGCGTTTCAATGCGTTAGGACGAAATTGAAACTCATAGGACGAATTTATAATCAAGAAGCAGTATTAGATTTTAAGCAATATCTGAACAATTTGTGACCCTTTATCAAATCCAACGGTACGTTTGGAAAGGTGAATAAATTTAGAAGTCATCTTTGACTGAAATATTAAATTTTTTGTTCAAACCCGTTCAAAAAAGAAAGGTAAAGCGCGGGTTATGCTTAGTAGGACGGAAATTACAACAAATCCTCTACAGCTGTGTTCGATAAAATAGCAGCGCATGTCGATTTTCATACAAAATGGTCAACTTTGACATGAAGTAACTTTGTTAACTTATGATCAATTGAGCTGAAACGTTTGTCAAAGAACTACAAATATGTTCAATTTTACGATTGCAAAATATTAAATTTTTGGAAGCACCTGCCGGAAAGTGAGACACCAGGTAAAATTGTTGAAATATTGAAACACCACAGACTCCAGAGTGTTGGTGCATAGAAGCAGAGAAGATAATTCTGCCGTAGTATCCAGCTCCAGTGTCAAAACTTACCGAGAAGGATGCCATTCAGTGCTGGCAAAATCATCAATCACAGCTCCTTTGATATTGCGAGTCTATTCACAACATACAAAAATTAAGCTGAGAGTTGACTCGATACAATAATGATTCCGTTGCACATCGTTTTCTTAGAAAGAGAAAGTATAGTTTGCTATCTCTCTTTACTCTTCACCGATGGCAAACACGAAGCTACTGCTGCCAGCAGTGACGGTAGTTTCGAGTCGCGTTCGGGTGTAAAGCAAAAATTATGAAACTCAAACTCACAACGGTTTGGTTCCAATTATAGCTGGTGAGTTTTGTTTGCTTGATATTAGTAGCTTGCAATAGCATCCACAGGTTTTAGATTGTTTGATATGTTCCCAACACTGCCGCCATTACTGATCGTGGAAAGCTGGATTGTGTCTTCAATCAATGGAAAATTACATTCTATGATAGATTGAAGTATAAGCGTTTCCTGTGCAAGTCAAGGATGTACCAAGGACCATCAATACGGTCCGTAACTTGATTGAACCTGATCTCACTGTTAATGTCTGTGCATGGAAAACCTGATTGATTATCGATTGATCAATCGATATTCACCCAAATATGAAAACTGTGTCAACAAAAGCATTTCAAACAGGCATTAACGCTGGGAAGCTGCATTTTTTTCAACGCGAAATACACTCTCAAACCACAATAACTTACTTGCAGTATCCCAGGGTGAATAATACGGCTCGAACCTTCGAGGGCATGGAGGTGGTGTACTGCCCGAAACTGTTGGTTGTAGAAACAATGTTCAATCAATTATGAATCGTAGCTTGCTTTCGAAATCGATCTTACCTAAGTTATTCGATAACGATCCGTAGGTGTTGATCGTCACAGGTTGCACCGGTTGCTGTAACTGAAATTCATTTCTTTTAGCCAATTTTCTACGTAAATCAAGGCCTGCAGTGAGCTTACCGGTGTTGAGTATGAGTAATTGGACCTGGTTGAGCACGATGTGTATGAACCCAGTTGCGGCGCCGACATCCATGTTGCCCTGCAATGATCGCAAAGTTTCAACTTGACATGAGATCGGTTTATGTCACACAAATTCAAACTTACCCCATATCGTACCGCGGATACGGCTGATAGGGACTCTGGGCAAATACCGGTCGACCAAAGTTCGAAGCATTGGCCATGTACGTTTCGCCAAACATCTTGGAGTAGTGACCCGTCCGGTAGGGTCGCTTCATTCGCCTTCGCCGCTTGTAGTTCCCATTCTCAAACATATCCTCGTACTGTGGATCCAGGGTCCAGTAGTTGCCTTTCCGTTCGCCTCCGCCTTCCCGGGGGATTTTCACGAAACACTCGTTCAGACTTAGATTGTGTCGGATCGAATTTTGCCAACCCTTTTTGTTTTTCTCGAAGTACGGAAAGCGAGACGTTATGTAGCCGTAGATTTCACTTAAGGTGGCCCGTTTCAACTGGGAACTCTGAAGGGAGTGAAGAGACGTAACGATATAGAGATCAAAGAAGACGATCGACTGGAGGTGTAATTTTAATAAATTAATTAAGTCTCGGAGGCAACGAAAGCGCAGGGACTATCAGATTTAACGATAATTATAAATTAGATGTTATAATAATCTTTTGCGCATACTCGCTTTCTCTTTTTCCGTTGGATCTCAGCAAGTATGGAGGCGTTCGCTCAAGTGCCAGCCAAGCAGCCGGTTGGATTAAAATGTGATTAATAAATTGCCGTTCTAATGAATGTGGGTAATTTATTTCCTTCATTTTAGAACGGTGACGTTGCGTGAGTTTGGTCTAATTTTGGAATTTGACAGTTTTTTTTTTGCTTTCTTCGAGGAAAATATTTTTAGGTGCACAGATACTACTAACCTGAATGGCCATCGCTATTAGTGCTACGTAGCTGTAGGGTGGTTTGGTGTTTGAATTTCGATTGACTCCGGTGGGACTTGATGAACTGCAATTCATGAAAGAATAAAACGCAACAATGAAACATTATTGTTTGAAATATGATTTTTTTTTCGCCCAAGTCAGCGAAGAACTCGAATTACATACTGCACGATACCGACCTGGTATTTGTACTCCTGTCATCGCCCACCAGGTTGTTGGATGTAATTTCATCTGTCTTGATGGTGGTCGTCGCCACAGCGTTGGTGGTCACGTCCGTGTTTTCCGAATCCTCATGAACCCGCTCGATGACGGTGGGTAAATGTGGCGTGTCCGGGGACTTGACTTGTTCATAGGCTGGCAGTGCTACAGAAATGGTTCAAGAACAGAAGTGCACAAGTTAGTGCGAAATTCCATAAATACGATTACCGAGCGAAAATGTGCATAGGCTGCTTTTACGCAATCCGAAGTCGAAGTTGCCAAGAATACACACAACGCACACATCATCCGCGTTATGTGTCAATGACGAGAGATAGCACAGTTTCCACGTACTATTGAGAATATTGATCTACTAGAATGGTAATCGGAAGCGGCATTATGTATTTCAATGGCAATCTACGACGGCACAACGGGCGCTCGATGCAAATAGTGCTTGAAACTAAGTGCTGATATTGCACAGGGATTGATTGAAAATGCATTTGTTTACTATGCATCATACTAACCAAGTTCATGCTCACCTAAGTGACTCAGGCCGTTGAAGGTTTCTTGTTTGATCTTTGGCAGGTTTATCAGGTTCTGAAAGAAATGGGAGAATGTGGAATATTAATTTTTATATTTGACTAAATTGTTTGACTAATATGTCGCCTTTTTAACTATTGGCGTAATCAATGTAGGGTACATATACCAGTTATGGCTATACGTTCCTTTTATGGAATTTCATAGGGCCTAATTGGAACACATCATAATAGGAACGTAAAGCTATAACTTGTACATCTTCCCGAATTTATTCCAATTTCTTGTCCATAACCATATGAACCAAAGTTTTCTATGTAAGGGCTTCTGGGGTAAAATGCACCTCCGGGCCGGAATGACTTTTTGGCATTCAAAATACGTTTTTACTTCTTTTTCGTGGAACTGTGAATCAGCATTGTTAATTCAATATATAATATCAGGCGAAACATTTGAATACGGCACAAAAGCTTTTTTAAACAAAATTTGTAAGCCCATTTTCACGCGACCCGAAGTACGCCCATACAAACCAATACCACTATCGGAAAAAGGAGATATTCCCATCCTGATGACGCTATTGGATTGTATAAGCGTACTTCGTTTCGCGTGTAAAGGGCCGTACAACTTTTATTTACAAAAGGTTTTGTGCCGTTTTCGAATGTTACGCGAGATATAATATTTGTTGCATACAAGTTCGCTAGAATATACGGAAAAGTCAAAGTGCGAATCCCACACTAGCGCTGTGGTGTGGGATTCGCACAACTAATAATATTTAAATTGCACGTTAAATGCGTGAACGACGATTGAGGAGAAAGAGTAACGTCTGTTTGTTTGTGATTTCCCCGCGCACAAATCAATAGGGAAGAGCGCTACTTCGTCGTAATCGCCCATTTCCGTTCTATCGAGCAGAAATCATCAATAATATCAATGATTTCACCATGCACAAAACATTAATACGTTTGATCCGATCCGTTAGTTCATAAGCCACAACATGAAGCCTATTACAACGCATTGTATGAATATTTACACTCATTGTTCTCAAAACAAAAGAGGCACTCCTAGCGAATCCACTTTTTCTAGCATCATCCGTAGGACGAAGAAAATCTAATGGCGTTTCAATGCGTTAGGACGGAATTGAAACTCGTAGAACGAATTTAGAATCAAGAAGCAGTATTAGATTTTAAACAATATCTCAACAATTTGTGACTCTTTATCAAATCCAACGGTACGTATGGAAAGGTGAATAAATTTAGAAGATATATTTGATGAAAACATTCCATGTTTTGTTCAAACCCTTTCAAAAAAGAAAGGTAAAGTGCGGGATGTGCTTAGTAGGACGGAAATTAGATCAAAAACCCTAATACGTTTGTTTCGATAAGTTAAACCATAAGCAACAAAACAAAGCCTAAACGAGCGTGTTGTATGAATATTTACACTCTTAGTTCTCAGAACGCTCAATTTTTTATGCTGAAGAAAACTTATAGCGAATTTGTTTATTATTCAGTTCTAACCTAGATCCGGTATCAAGACTAGTTTTGCTTGTTTTTGATAAACGTCAGTTTGATTGTTTGTTTTTAAAACCTACCTCAGGTTGAGGTTCGAACTGACAAAAAGTTTGGCTTCACTGGGTTGGAGTTGGAACTGGCTCAAACCCCAATAAAGAACGAATTCGCTATTAGAAAAACCAATGGCGTTGCAATGCGTTAGGACAGAAATGAAACTTGTAGAACGAATTTGAAATCAAGAAGCAGTGTTAGATTTCTAACAATATCTCAATAATTTGTGACTCTTTATCAAATCCAGTGGTACGTATAGAAAGGTAAATACATTTGGACGACATTTTTAGTGGAACTCCATTTTTAGGTTCATATACGTTCGAAACAGAGAGGTTAAATGCGAATTGTGCTTAGTCGGACGGAAATTACATCAAAAGCCTAGGTACAGTGCATTCCCATTTTTAACAACAAGACATCAATTTTATGTTGCCAAAATCTGGGATATTTTGTGTAGATGTTTACTCACTATGATGATGCAGTAGTTATACCGCGGATACACTTGTATGGCAAACTATGAACATGAGCATTATTTGTATAATAAATTATGAGCACATCCCTGGTCACACTTGTATAGTTTTTGTATAGTTGTTGTATAGTGCTCATAATTATTATACAAATAATGCTCATGCTCATAGTTTGTCATCCAAGTGTATCCGCGGCATTAGTGTTATTGTGTATGATACAGACTTATAGCGAATTCGTTTATTATTCAGTTCCAACCTGGATCGGGTATCAGGATTGGGTCTGCTTGTTATCTGACAAACGTCAGTTTGCTCGTTTGTTTTTAAAACCTAGCTCAGGTTGAGGTTCGCACTGACAAAAAGTTCGGTTTCGCACTGGGTTGGAACTGGTTCCAACCCCGATAATAAACGAATTCGCTATTAGTAGATTACATATCTATTTTCCCCCCTAATTTTGCTCTATAATAAATGACAGTCACTTTCAGACTGCTGCGATGCATTTCAAATTGATAAACAAAACAAATCAATGCGTGACTCTCTCGTAGTCGGTGTAGTTGTTAAATTTGATTTTTTTTTCGTTTTTCGGTAGCAATTGAAATGTGGAGCTACGAGAAGATTGTGTGCATGCACTTCAAGTGCACCGGTAAAACAGATCATGATCATTGGAAGTACATATTTAGTGGTTTGTAAAAAAAAATAACGATTCGCTTTTCACTAAAATTTTTCTACTTTTCATTTATTTCCTTAACATTGGTTCGATGTAATGCTAAAAAGGCGAAACAGTTGACCTTTATAGTGCTAGTTTGCTAGCATGTTACTAGCACTGTTATTGCTTACTTAAGGATGGTATGAAAAACGTCACATATTTTCGCTCCCATTTCCGGGCGAAATTTGTCCCTGATTTTGTTTTTTTTTTCAAAAGATTGAGCTATATGAGTGCAAATGTCACTCATCGTACCGAGACCAAAAGTAACTTGACTTGCCGGAATTATAAAATATGATAATTGATGATTTTTGTATGATGTCCAAATGCCTTACTGTCCAGTATCAAGACTTTACTCGAAAAAAAAAAGCAATAGACAAAAATGATCACCAAAAATTCATTTTAAGTCGGATATTTTTGAAACTCTCAGGAATAAAAACAAACACATATTAGCTATGTTTTTAAAGTTGGTTTTTTCAACCTCCTCTCTTAGGCTAAATGCGCGCACCTTGGACTTAACGCTAACCATCAAATCCTGTAAAACACTTGCGCCATCTTTCTTACACACGTCCATTCCTGTTTTTCGGAGCTTGCCCTTCATAATCGCTCAGAACTTTTCTATTGGGCGAAGTTCGGGCGAATTAGGCGGATTTGCCTCCTTCAGCTTCAGCACAAAAACAACATCGTTGGCTTCGTATCACTCCATCACCGGTTTCGCGTAACGGCACGATGCTAGATCCGGCCAAAACAGAGTATCACCTTCGTGGGACCGGAGCACAGTGGTTCAAACGGCGAAAAACGTGATCGTGTGAGATTACGCAAAATCCTTTGACTTTAGGTATATAGTGTCGTCAAAGAAGTTTTAAGGCATAATTGGCGCCATCTTTTAACGGTAGCCATTTTGTGATCAATCCCCCTAAAAGTGGGAACCAACACTCATTTTTTTATAAAGTTGAGATAGAAAGTTTGTGTCTTCAGCAAAGTTGTGCATTATGTAAATACAAACAACTTTGCTGAAGACATGAACCTTCTATCTTTTTGCTCAATTGATCTATAAAGCGTTTTTTGTGGACGTGCCCCTTAAATCATATATTTTTACCATAACTTTTTCTATAACATTTTTACAGGTTTGCAATGTTGTAAGGACTTCTTTGTATTGTCAAAATACATGTTTTTGTAGAACATTGTTTCTCGCTATTTCCTATATACTTGGAGATATTTGGGATTTTTCAATAAAATTGACCTATTTTAGAACTCAAATATTTCATAAGGTGGCAGATGGTGGCAGATCAAACAACTTACATTTGAAAGTACAACAAAAATGCTGCAAAATCATGCCAGGGTTGTCTACATCGGACTACATCCGGAAAAGTTACAGCTGTTTTAAGAAGGGATCAAAATCAAATGTCTCCTAACAAATATTTGATCTCATTCGAATGGCAACATTCAGCTATTCAATTTTCTTTCCCATAGGGATTGCCATGCATACAAAAAAAAAGAAAAATACATCTCTTGAAATAATGAAATACGAAAAAAAATGTACAACCATTTCACACAACAGTGATGCCATGTTTGCAAAAGGTTAAATAGAGTTTGCTGCACCCATTGCAAAAAGCTATGACAGAAGCATGTCGCCATACTTTTTCTGGTCGGTCTGTCAGTTTCTAAGATGATCATAAAACTGAGCGAAGATTTCCCAGCTGGAAAAAGTGCTGATCTGCTGCATCAATTGCTTGAGTTGTCTGATCCATTCATTACAATGAATATGATTAGTACGTGCAAGCCAAATATGTTATTTTCTAATGATGCTCGATTCCTACTAGATATGAACGACTCAAGTACTGGGTCTGATTCTGACGATACTGATAGCGAATAAAGCAACATAAAAAGCAGGTTTTATTTTTTATTTTATTTCAAAAGAGAGTGTCATTAACGCAACATATCAATACAAGAATGTTCATAAAGCTTTGGAAAATGATCTAACGAAGAATTAAGATCTTTATAAACATACCAGACAGATAGTCACAGTATCTCGATTGTCGCCTTTTGAATGAGATCAAATATTTAATAGGAGACATTTGATTTTGATCCCTTCTTAAAACAGCTGTAACTTTTCCGATGTAGACAACTCCGGCATGATTTTGCAGCATTTTTATTGTACTTTCAAATGTAAGTTGTTTGATCTGCCACCATTTGCCACCTTATGAAATATTTGAGTTCAAAAATAGGCCAATTTTAATGAAAAATCTCAAATATCTCCAAGTATATAGGAAATAGCGAGAAACAATGTTCTACAAAAACATGTATTTTGACAATACAAAGAAGTCCTTAGAACATTGCAAACCT